TAGTCATACATCCAATTTTGCTTTTGATTGATCGGAAACACATGTCGCGGAAGCTGATCTTTTCTTTAATACATGTATAAAATCTAATACATATTATCATTTAGAGCAGTGGTTTCCAACGGGGCCCTTTTTTTGTGGCCCACGAACTAAAATATATTAGTTGTCATTTTNTTGCTTTTGATTGATCGGAAACACATGTCGCGGAAGCTGATCTTTTCTTTAATACATGTATAAAATCTAATACATATTATCTTTTAGAGCAGTGGTTTCCAACGGGGCCGCATCCGGCCCTCGAAGCCTTTTTTTGTGGCCCACGAACTAAAATATATTAGTTGTCATTTTTTTGCGGACAATTTTCATAAAAAATCTACATGAGTTTAAAATACTTTTCTCGTTAATAAAACCTAATTTCTTCGTTTCTGTGAAATTTATCATACCAACGGTGCAAAAAAAAATTATTTCTCAGGTTTTGCATCCAAGAAAATATTCATTCAAATACAAAAATAATCGTGTATGTTGCTCTTTTTTATTTAATTTTTTTGTATTTTGTGAACATAATTTAGCATATGTGTATTAGAAATTTTCTCGAAGAAATTCTCCGATTTAACTTTTTGAAACCATTCCTTTTGGACGAAAATATTTACACACACATTTGTAAATCTTAAATTTAAAATGTAAATATCTATTCTCTTGTGGTTGCAGCAGACAAACCTCAATTTTTTCATTGAACATTTTGTGTGCTACTATGTAAGTTTTAATACCAACCTTTTTAAAGTTTTATATCTTAACAATTAGATATCTGTTGCACATTAATTGTTTAATACATAGGTGCACATTAAAGTTATTGTAGCCCGAATTTTTTAATATGCAATTAAATATTTTTAAAAATCTACTTCTTATTTTAATTTGTAATTCAATACTTTTGTTTTGTACAACTTGGTAAAAATCTGACAGTAATATTTAATGTTCCTTCAAACATAAAAGAGTCCTACATAAAATTTTGATAAAGTTGCGGCCCGCCATTTGATTTGTGTTTTTAATTGCGGCCCCCGGCCTCATGTAAGTTGGAAACCCATGTTAGAGGAACCATGCGTTGTAAAGTTACTACAAACATTGGTATCTGTAACCGATAAGTATGGATTTTCTTATCGAGATGTTTTGACAAAAAAATATCGATATTTAACAATACCTTTTTTTTTTTTTCAATTTGACTAATTTATACTACTTTATGTCAATATTATCGCTGCTCACAGAAAATTAATTACCAATCGCAGTAATATCGCATTCAATAATTATTGATGTAGATAATAATTACCATACTATTTTTTTTTATGTTATGTAATCGATAACGATCGGGTTATTATCAAATTCGATAATTATAGTTATCAATAATAATAATGGCGATATTATCGTCGATAATAATAATGGCGATGCCGATTGGTATTATCTTTAATGATCGCAATACTGTCGTATAAAATATACTTATATGTAGTGCTAAAAAAAAAGGACCACTGTGAATAACTTTTGATCAAATGATCGGATCTTCGCGTTCTAGAGCTCAATCTTAATAATTCTAGGAGATGATATGCGAATTAATAAGCGCAGACGATATTTTAAGTTGCGAGATAAGAGACAAAAACGTACTTTTCAAAAGACAGATTCGGATTTTTAACCACCAAAATATAATCTAGGAACTATAGTCCGAATAGTTTGCTTAGGAAAGCGGTCCAGAGTTTTAATGTTGATTTAACATTTTGCGTATTTCGTAATATCTCGTGAAATTTTAAAAGGAATTAAAAAAATTTTGCACGCAATTATAAAATTCATTTACCCAAAAACAATGTCATGCGAATTAAAAATTTTAGTAAATATTAATTATTTTACTTATAACAGTCGAAAAAATTTTGAATAGTAAGGTACACAATTTTTTACATCATTTTCAGGAACGTAATTTTACATTGTAGAATACCAAATTTAAGCAAAATCGTTCGAATTGTTCCGAAGAAATTGAATTTTAAAAAAGTGTAGAAACAACTTTTAATGTCCTCTTTCAAGAATTCTAAATGTCTTTTAATCTTGCTCCTTCAGGTTCAAGTTTTGTGTTTCACTGGCCTTTTCATCTAATCTCTTGCATATGATTTTTTTTTTTAAATTCTGAAACAGTAACTCTTGCTTGACAGATTTAAGAACGTCAAAAACGTAAAGGATGCTATAGTTAAAAAGCATTCCGTAAGACGACTTAAAATTTGTTTTGCAACTAAGTGCATAAGTTGCGGCAGATAAAGGTTATTTCAAAACATATTGAACGGGTATAGGTAATTCACTCATCATTTAAAAGAGTTAATAGATCAGTCATTAGGGAGATTTTGCACTTTTGCGTTAGCTTCTGAACGTAAGATTAAAGCAACTGTACAGTCGTCTTAAAAAAAAAATATCACCCTCAATAACTTTCGTTCTAATGATCGGATTTTTACGAACTAAGTGTCAATCTCAATGGCTTTTGGGGGTGACCTCAAATATGCTAATTAATTAGTGCTAACTATTAATTAAGTTACGAAATCAGACAGAAAAACGTACTTTCTCTGAATAAACATATATTTTTTTAACATATTTGGAATCCGGACCCTTAAAATAGGAAGGGTCGCAATAAAGATGTATATATATTTGGCGATAGTCCAGAAAAGTCGCTGCCGCAAATGAATATTTTAAGATAACTCATATACTAATTCGAAAGAGGAACACTTAATTTTACTTCGTTGTTTAGCAACAAAGTTCTGACTGTAAAAAAATTGAAACAAGATTCTGATTGCTCGGAGAAGTTTAATTAATAGAAAATATATCTAAGTTGCTAGGCAATAGACTTAACATTTTTTAAGGACATAAAAAATAATCCGTTTACAATTGAAATTTCAAAAGTTGAATGTGAGAATGGAATGTCCCTTAGCACCAAGAATCGAAATTAAATAGTTACAAGGACAGCTATTTCAAACAAGTTAGCGTTTCCGTATACTCGAAGTTGCTTGAAAAGGTCTTTTTTAATTTATCGATTCCAAAGTTCTTTCTGCATATATTTTCGTATATACTTTAGGAGCATTTTGACTGAGTTTATTTTTACACCCTTATTTGCTTAAAATTATTAAATAATTTGCTTAAAATAAATTATTCAAGCTACATGATTTAATACATTTAAAGTATAATAGTAAACTGGGCTTCCATCACATATCCTTACCCTTGATACCGTTATCATTAAATAAATGGAATAGGCTTAGATAAATAATAACAGTTAATTTTTTTCTCGTTTTAATTTTGAAGGAATAATATGTTTAGAACAAACAGATTTCATTCTGGAAATAACGAAATTATTGAGTATGTTCCATGGAGCAATATCATTCTTATCCTCTTATGACGAAATATAGGTTTCAGTTTCTGTAAAAAGTATGTTAACCTTCTCGCCGCGGATTTCTTTAAATTCAAAATAAGTTGAAAATTACGTATTTTTTATTGCATTTTTTTAAATCAGATGATTCTAAAATTGGCACGGCTTCGGAATCTCTTTACAAATTTCAATTTTTAGTATTTGCTGTTTAACAAAATAAGGCATTTTCCTAATAACAAATTATACTATAATATCTAGTGAATCGTGCTAAAGTTGAAAAATAATTTTATCAAAAGTGATTTTTTTCAACACCTATTTTTTAAAAGAGCAATTTTCTTAAAAATAAGAGTAATATATAAGTTTAAACGTCAAAATAAAATTCTGTTTCTACTTTGTTCATTTAAAAAAACAAAGCAAAGAATTGTGGTTCTTTGAGTTGCACTAATATTTATTTACTTTTCACAAACCAAACAAATAAGAAACAGTTATGTAAATAAAAAATTTTTTTGTTCAATCTTAGAGAAAAGGGTGCACCTATTTACTATGATCAGTCAGACGTTTTGCACTGAGTAATTTTAACATAGAAAATGTTTTTAAAATATTATCAGATAACTGGCTATAGTTCTGATACTTAAGAAAAACTTAGCAATTACTTAACGAGTGTTAATTTAAGAAAAACCTGTAAGTACCAATAAAAATAGCTTAGTATATTATTCAGAAAAAAAATCAACATGGTATCATAAAAAAAAAAGAGTATAATGAAATAATTAATTGGATAGTTCTGTGATTCACTGGTGGTCAGATAATTAAACATTTAATTTCACAACTAATATGTTAGGACGACATTTAAGATACTGAGATATTTTGAGAGGCTTAAAAATTTTGGTAACGTATTCAAGAGCTTTTTACTTACTCCTTGTAGTGACTTATAAAACATCAACACTATTTTAGATAATCTATATTGAAGTCTCAAATATCGAATCCAGACGAATGGTTTTATGAATAATTCAAGTAATGTATAGAAACTTTTTAACTAATAAATATTTGGGTTTAAATTAATAATGCAACATAAAAAATTATTTATATATATATATAAAATATTTTATTCAACACAAAATATATTTGAAATAGCTGTAATCATAATGATGAAATTATTCTAATTTACTTTTAAATATTATCAGTCATATATAAGTAAAAAAAGTGATATGAAATTAACTTGAGTTTGGATGAAACCTTCAATAACTAAATTCAGTTCCCCTGGAATTTCGAACTACAATATAACAATCTGAACGTTTTGGAGATGATGAACCACATTAAAATAATCTGAACGTTTCAGGGATGATGAACCACTTTAAAATAATCTGAACATTTCAGGGATGATGAACCACATTAAAATAATTTGAACGTTTCAGGGGATGATGACTGCCTTCATGTGTAATAAATAACAAGAAAAGTTGAGAGTGACTATCGTGTAGTGATTAATAAACAAGTTTTTAATTGCCATCTTTCAATCCATAGCTTTTCTTTGAAATTAACATACTCGAATCTAATTGAACGTGGCGTTTTAGGAAAATCTTTACAAAACACAGGTAATGACAAAAGTTAGAAAAGAAAAAGAACCAAGTATGTTTTTGCAATTTTATTGAAGTTTCTACTAACAGAGAATGATTAGACATGAAGACAACAAGCTAACATATAAAAATATGAATTAAAAGAGCAATGCAGTTCGAAGTCTGACAAAATTTTGAATAATTAAAAAATATTTTTTTAAATAAAATGCACATTGAATATTCTCAACCTTCTAAGTCCCCTCAAAAACTGAGTAATATTCTAAAGGCTGGTTTTCTTACAATATTCAAAATTTCACCATGAAAAATGCAAAGAAAAATGCTCATGAGCCTGAAGAGTAAACATAACTTTTCTTTTTTTTTTTTTTGAGAATGATTCAAATCAATTTCTCAAAACTATAAAATTGTCAATAAAGTCATTCATAAAAGCCCAAGTTCAATCAAAACATTAAAATGATCACAGAGGAAAAGAAAGTAATAAATCTGTCTCGCATGATGAAAGTTGGTAAGCATTACAATAAAAAAATTGCTATCGTCAATAAAAATAATTAAAAATTCCTTCTTTTTGTGAAGAACCAGAAAATTAAATTACTAACTCTAAGAGTGACATGCATAACCTGAAATCAATCAATTATTTGAATTGTCAAAGAATCCAAATTTTTCAGTTAATCTTATACGGAAAGAAAAAATTGTTTATAGGTGACACTTAAAAGCCCATCTATTTTTGCCTTATTTGATAATTCTAACTGTTTTATCAATCCTCAGTGAGTCACCTGATTTACATTAAAATTATCCAAAGAAATCACTCTTTGACGTTATGGATTAAAATCATTCTCCGTGGGAGGCCCAAACAACATTACGATGTGCATTTTTCAAATGAAACGGAGCCACACACTGCATTGCTCTTTCTTGTTATACAGCAAAACTTCACTAGAGTTAAAGTCTTAAAAAAGTATGGATGCACATACACATTTGTAAAGTGAGAAATATTCACAATTTTTTTTCTTCCAAAGTACATGCCAACATCTGCCATGAAATTGACAAATTCTGTAATATGTAAGGAGAAATCAAAGCTGAATGCTTTCAGTTTCAATAATATTATAGTTACCACACTAATTTTACATAATAAAAAGTTTATTATCTCCTAATTGCACGTTACATACCATGAGTTATATATATATATGTATATTCTAAATCAGTGCTACTAGTTTTATCTCAATTATTAACCCTCCAACTGTAGGGGCAAATTTGTACAAACATTTTTCTGCAGGGCAGACTTATTTTCACTGAACAAACGAAGAAAAAAATTAGCTTGTAACATAAGTCAAACAGGGTTCTATTTAGTTCGACATAATTAAATGCCCGATACATTTAAAAAGAAAATATTTTTTGAAGGTTTTTTCCCAATCACTGCCCTTAAAATATATCTTTATAATACTTGTGATGAGTGAAGTAAAAAATAGACGTATATTAAGGGTTGCAAATTAGCGGTAAAGCAAGAGAGAAAAAAGCTGGATAAAACCAATTGAACTTGGAGGCATTTCTGATAATCTCTTTGGTTTCACTCTTCCTCGATAGTTAGAGTTTAATTTGTCTATTTTCCTTCGCTTTATTTGCAACCCTTAATCTATAAGCCTTTTTTTATTTTACATGTAAAAATACATTTTTAGGGCAGAAAAAAACCTGTATCTAAAGAACTGTTACATGCGACTAAAAAAATTAAATGAATGACAAGGAAAAAAAATTCATTTTAAAAAAATTAAATCCATTGATATAAAAAGAAGTCAGGTATAAATTTCAAAGAATGGAAATGTCATATTCTATTGTCCACCCAGGACATATTTAAAAAAAAAATCAGCACAAAAAAATTTAGAAGTGCCTAGGGATATAAAAGAGAAAGAAAAAGAATTCCTGCCTTTTCTCATGGCAGAATTAGCAAAAATGACAAGTATAGAAAAATGACACATTCAGCCACTGTTGGGCTTTGTTGTCTTCATATGTGATCATAAAAACAAAAGGAAATAATAATCAAGCGATAATATCAGTGCAAAACACAGAAGTGGAGGCAGAGAGCTTCCACTGCTGGGTATCGAATAGCATTATCACTCGTTCAGTGACTGTCCTTGGCAGTAATTGGAATGGTGGAGTTTGGGCTAGATTTAGGATTACTGCCAAGATCAGTAGGAGAGTTGGTCAGCTTGGGTGCAGGACCTTGTCCAGCATTCAGATAAAGCCTGCAAAATTCAAACATTCATCAAATAAAATAGTTATATCATATACAGTCGGCTCCCGACAATCCGGTCTAATGTACCGGATAAGACGGAGTTACACCATTTTCTCCCCTCTCGCATATAATTTACATATTAAGCATCTTAAGCTTAACGATTTATGCAAAAGTACTTGCTGTTAATTAATTAAAAACAAATATGAAAAATTGCAACAAAAAAGAGTTAAATTTTACAGTTTTTCACTATGCATACGGCCTGCTGATAGGAAGGGGTTGGTAGCTTTAGCATTCCTCATTTTTTACTATGCTGGATTATACAGAAGCTGGATAGTTGCGACTCATATAATCAAGAGCCCACTGTACATGAATCAATCTATGGATACAGATACATGCATACAGATTAAATACAGATAAATTTCTGAATTTAAGTTGGTTCACAAAGATAGTTCGTTTTAGGCAAAAAATCTTATGATACATTTTTTAAAAAATATATTTTAGATATAATATTTTTTTTTTCTTATGGGTCTGTGCAGAGTATTTTTACACATCTAATGCTGCTAGCAATAAAAGAATTATTTTTTTAGAAAATTTCGAAGCAACAGACATAATAATTAAATATTTTTGCAACTGATATAGCAAAGTTTAGTAAAAAAAAAAAAAAAAAAATTTAGTAAGCATTNTAAAAAAAAAAAAAAAAATCAGTCTACACAATGGTTTTTGTTTCGAGAAAAATTAGAGGGAAGAATCAAGGATATCAATATTTTCCTTATATTTCTATTAAGACTTTTACTGGATAAGTTGAACTATTCACTCAAACAGAAAAGGCCAGAATCGATCATAGGTAAAGGCAAAATACTTCAACACGATAATTTGAGTTCTTGTATAAGCTTTCAACTTGCTTTTATACATGCAAGCTAAAAGATTTTACAGCTTGAATTGGATGCACTACTACACACACACAACATGTTCACTCCAGATTTAGCACCTTCGGATCACTACTTAAAATTCTAAAAATTTTTAAGATTATAAAATCTAAAAACTTCAGCATGAAGAGACGGCAAAAAGTATAGGGGTCACAATGGAAAATATGTAATTCATCTTAATATATAAATAAAATCATTGCACTTATTTTTTAAGCAATCCGATAATTCTAAAAAAGTTCTTTTTTTACCAGGTAAACTACCTCGGAAACTTTTTTTACCAGGTAAGACAGATCATTTTCGAATATTTTTACATCTTTCAAAATAAAAATAATTATTTTATAAAATAAAAATCATTTTTAAACATTTTTATTTTTTTTAATATCATAATTAAGATGTTAGATTTTTTTCCTTCCTATTGTTGAAAGTTCTTTCTATATAAACAGGTATGCATTACAAACATATAAAAACTGTTTGTGGAAAATGTAATGTCAGCGGGGAAAGTTTTTCAGTATCACTCACTCATTATAGAAAAATTCATTTCTGTAACCGATATTCTTCCATTTTCTACCCTGCAGGCAATATTTTTTGTACTGTTATATACATGGGTGCAAGTTGGAAAAAAGATTAAGACTGAAAATTTTTTGACTGAAATACCTAACATACACAATACCCCCTTGACATATGCAAACTATCTAAGAAAGCTTTCAATCAATTGAAAATCAAGTTTAAATACTGTACAAAAAATATTTATTCATCTGTCTTTTGATAAAATAACAACAGGACATAAGAAAGTAGACCAATAATGTAGACCTAAAAAATATTTTTAAGGACAGAAAAAAAAAATTTCCAATTTCCGTCTTCGAGTAAGTCTTGTTTCCGTCTTACTTCCGTCCGCGGACATTTTCGAAAGACGGAAATCCGTCCTGGGGACGGAAGACTTGCACCCATGGTTATATACTGTAAAATGAGTAGAATAAAAAAATAAGATAATTTAAGTATAGTAGAATTGAAAAGTGATTATTATAGAAATATTTATCGAATACTAGCAATGAAATGTTTTAGAGAGACTTAGATTTTAAACATACAAAGACAGTCAAATATATCGTAAAACAAGCGAAGTCAATAGCTAGCTATATAAATACAAAAAAGAGTTAAATTCAAAGAAATATATGTTGGTATATATAATAATCAATACAGAGTTTTATACAACTTCAAACACTTTCATGTTCTCAGAAAGTTTTTTCTTTTATCAATATGGAAGATGGCATGCAGAAATGGATTGTGATTTAATGACCTGTGAAAATGTTGAAGGAAACATTGTGAAAACCATGCTTTTTGGGTAATTCATGGCAACAATAGACATGACAAGGAAAAGTCTCGTCTTGGAAAAAAGAAATAAAGTTAATAATAATAATATTTACAACACCCAATGAGAAACACACCTTTGAAAGCTTTTAAGAAACGAAAATCAAAAGTATTTTTCAAAAACACTACACATACCCTGTTCAAATCATATTTCTCTCTGAAGCCTAGCCATAGAAAATATTATTTATTTACTCACCCATCACCGCTTTCCTTTTTTAGTCCATCTGATGATACTGCTTCCATACCAAGATCAGCAAGACAACGCAAGGCCACTAACGCAGCTTGATCATGAGCAGCTTCCACTGTTGTTCCTGCACCATGCTTCACTTGGGGTGGATTAATTGCCACTGATACCAAACAGAGGTGTTCCAGTTTCGCCCCCTAAAACATTCAACCTCTTTAAATGTTTTCTCTCCAATCATTTTGAGTGTTAAAAACTGCATGGATGCCAGCACAACATCAGATTTAACTAAATCATATACAAACTCTTATGCGAAATTGGTTTCATAATTTTTGAAAATATAAAAATCTAATTTATTTAAGTTGGATTTTTTTTAATATTTTCCCAAAGAACTTCAGTCTTATAGATATATCTATAAAATTTATGGATATATATGTATTTTTATTTCTATGGGCAGATTAAAAGACAATTGTGAACAGAAAAACAAACAATAAAAGTAGAACAAGAAACAGAGATAATAGTAACAAAACTGAAACTATAGTAAGTCTCGTTCATCCAAACTCGCTAGTATTTCTCCAGAGACCAAATATATAAATATAAAGATATATTTTTGTTTTATAATAATACAAGCACGAGTCAATTTTATTGAAAATGAAATCTAAATGCATCATATTTACTATTGAAAACATGAATAAAACAAATTACAAAATTAATACTTGAGACATATTTTTTCTTCAAAAACTGAAATGAAGAATTAATTTGATTATTGCATTTGCTTAGAAAACAGAACTATTTGATTTGTCAACTGTTTAAAGGTGATGGATAATTTTCAGATTGGAAACAAAGTGATTTGTTTCCTGAGGGGCACTTGATACACCCTAATATATGTTTTAAAAAAGAAGTTGGTCATTTTTGCATCTCTGAGACAATACATTTGCTAGATTAACGGTTCCTAAATGGTGTACCGCGGAAACCCAGGGTTCCGTAGAAGAGCTAAAGGGGTTGTGACAGTTTATACTTTTTATACAGTTTGTACTTTCAGTTAGTTAGTACTTCTTGTAATCTGTGATTATATTTAGATCCAACCTATACTTCATAACTTACTTTTTCGGTTGCCTTTATGAAATTTTTTCAAGTAAAATGCCAATGAATATATTTCTAATAACAATTTATTGAATTAATTATGAAAAGAACAAATATTTCACCTTGTTTTTCAAATCAAAATGAAATAACAAAATTCTTTAATAAAGAAAAATGCTTCCCGAATAGCAATTTTTAACGTTATAACAGTTCTTTTAAGTTTTCATTTCAAAATAAATCATAGTTCAGCGTATTTTAATCATTTTCAGTTTATGTATATACACTAAAATTAAATTCATAACTAGAGTAATTGTAGCACAAGGGCACAAATTTTACTGACAGACATAAAACATAATTTATTATTAACAATAAAGAAATGAAAAATCTTCATTCCTCTAATTAAATATTTAAAAAAATAGTCATTTATAGGTCATAACATTAAAATTATCTAAATAAACTTTATTTGTAAAGTTTGGGTTTCGCTAAAAGAAGGTTGATAATTTAGTGTACTGTGGCCAAAAAAAAAATTGGGAATGCTAGATTATTTTTTCATGTCACTAAATTATTTAAAAACAAAATTTATGAGACTTTTAAATGAACTTACTTTAGGGAAATCTGTAAAGTGCACTGCAAAACCTAAAACCTCAGCCAAATATAAAAGTTTCTGCTTGAATCCTCCCAGAGGCTGGTACTGAGTCATAGGTTTTAGACTAGCTTTTCGTATGGCTTCAGCAGTAGGAGAATGACCTATATAAACATCAGATATAGTGTTTTATTCAGTACATTTCAGCTGCTATAAAGTAATTCTAAAAAAAAATTTAAAAAAAAAAAGAACTTGCTAATATAATTAAAACTGCAATTGAACTTAAAATAAATAGAAGCAATGATTAGTCTAAAATTTGCCTTCATTTGAAAGGCTTGTAATTTTCAATAAGATAAAAATGATTTGCTTTAGAAAATTCCTCTAAAAACTGAATACACCAAGGGCAAATTTACATCCGTAATTACAAAATCTTCATTCCCAAAAATGCTGGTGAGCAAATTTCATCTTTTAAAATGTTGAAATTTAAATTAAACTAAGGACGTTTAGATTACAGTGAATAAAGCTTAGATTATAATATGTGTTAATGTTTAGAAAATAAGCAACAGCATTTCCTATTTAGAACAAAGAATATTAGGTCACCCACTTTTCACTTACAAAACGATTGTTTCTGGAATCATTGAAACCTTAAAATAACCTCTTTTTGATTTAATATTATTGTTACAAATATTGCTTTTTTTTTACATTCTTTTATGGTTTCAGTCACAAAAACATCTTCATATCAGATCTGTCAACATTTTAATAATTGTTTATATATATATACTTTTTTTATGAATGTAAAATAAAGGCTAGAAATTTTTTAGCTTGGGAAGTATCTTCAGAACTGAAATTTCATGCCATGCTCAATATGTGCATTACCACGGGGGGAAAAAAACCCAGAAAAACACCCTGGAACAAATTTTACAAAATCAAAGTTAACTAAACTAGCTACCTTAAATCAAAACTACAATAATAAATAAAATGTTAACAAAATTCAAATTATGCAATTCCCTACTCCTTAATTTCATTTTTTACAACTTAATTCTATAAAGGTATAAACAGGTTTCGTTCGTACATATCAGGAAAAGTTACGGAAAGCGGGGAAATGTCAGAAGAAACAATTTTACCTCCATAACTGGAATTGTCAAAAAAAAATTTCCTCTTAAATTTTGAAAAATCTATACACATATAATACATAATATAAAATAAATTTTCCAGTTTTGCCATTTTTAAATATTTAAGTCTATATAATGACTGTATTGAATTAACAATTTAATTAAAGAAAATTTTAAATTAATACATTTCAACTGGGGACCATTTAACTTATGCAATCTGATTTTACATAGGTGTTCATTTTACTCTTAATTCACGATACATTTTTATCTTAAACGATTGTTGAGGTAATATGAAAACTGAGAATTTTAGTGTTGAAAGTCTTTAAGAAGAGTGAACAATTATAAGTTTTATATTATTAAAAATTTAAGTGTAAACCATTATAGTTTTTTCTCTTCTTCATTATTTTAATTCTTGAAAAGGCTTTGATTCTGATAAACTTTTATGTTTGGTACTTTCTTTGTAAAGAGAATTAAAAAAAGGTACTTAAGTTTTCTTTTCTTTTTTAGCTCAAGTACCAAAACTTTTTGCATAACCATTACCTGTGCATTGTAAATAGTCCTTTTATTATAATTGCTAAATTTTTAAGTTTATCTAAACAAGCAAAATTTTTTTTAAATTAATTTAGAAAGATATTTTTAATGAATTATCTTAATCATTGGTTTCAAATTGATTCTTTTTTATTGTTTAGAAAATCAGATTAGTTAATTTACTAGTTTTAATCATTTAATTTAAATCACTGACCATGTTAAATTTATTTTTCATTTTATTATACAATATCCTATGATTATATTTATTTCTCTTGCATCGAACATTTAATACTTTTATTAAATAATAATTGTTCTGGAAATATTTCTTTCAGTATGAACCTTATGTATACATGATATTAAGCAGAAGTTTAAAATTAAAATAAAAAAATAACACTTTAGTGTTATTTTTTTTCCCCTTTTAATATTAGCTGCATGCAAAATAGTTTCATAACTCTCAATAGTTTGGGAAGAAACAAATTATTACCAAATTTTCAAAAACCATTATCTTTATTACTGAAACATAATACCATAAACTTCAGTCACTATGAAAACAAAGTAACTGAAAATAAATCGTTACAATTGGCACCCCTGTGAAGTTAAAGAAGCTTTATACCTTCTAAATACCTTAATTTCGCCGAGATAGGCCACCTTGGCTCATACGCCACAGCCATGAAATTTGATTTGAAATTTTTTTTTAATTAGATACGCTACACCATCATATATGACGCTCAAAATTTTATCATATCAACAAGGGTACAGATTGCAGACTTGGCACACGTTACACCGGCAATCGAAAATCGTTTTTTACAAATAAACAATAAATCCAAATAAATTTTGTCCAAAGAAAAAAATTTTTTTGAATTTGTATATCATTGTATGTAAAATTATATGGCGTATATTGTAAATAAAAATATTCAAAATCTGATCAATTTTCCATATCAGAACAAAACAAGTTCATTGCGTAGTTTGAAATCACTCACATTTTCCAGGCATTTTCACATTTACATCACTCGTTCCAGAAGATTCCTGTTTTTTTAGAAGCCATTTACGACTGTCGCTTCCTTTATAGCCCTATATAAATGGGACACCTATGCAGCAACGTCTTCATAAGTTGTCTACCACACATGGCCAGATTTATTGTAGGAGTGGATGCCGAGCTCCATCTAGTTCTCCCATAGCTGCCTCACTTCTTGTTTGAAAATCAAGGGGTCAAATCAAGGATCAGTCAGATCAAGGGGTCAAAGTTCATTTGTAAGGCCATCGGGGATCACAGCAGATGCAGTGGACAATTTTTTCCCACACAGGTCATTACGTGATGAAACAGCAGCAAGTCAAGGATCAACAATCTGGGAAAAGCACCTTTACACTTTAAATATACGAATTCCAGCATCATTTTCTCGCACATCTACCACTTTTCATTCGCTTCGGTGAACACAGCTTTCGGAAAATCACCTTCGGGTAAAGTTTACAGTTTGAAGATCAGCGATGGTGTAAGCTTTTCATCAGTTGCTGGACATCTTAAAACACAGGTGAACTACATCTTTTGTAGCATGTGGTGACTTTGGCTACGAATTTCACTCCCGTTTCATCCACAGTACAGTTGGGAGGGCAATCTAACAAAACCGGAACTTTGCCTATGTCATGGTTTCCACTCAATTTCAGAAAAAAAATTACCTGACTTTTGCAGGTATATCAGGTAAATTTCAACGAAAATTCATACCATATTTCATCTATATCCTGCAATTTTTCATCAGAAAACTTTTATATTTATGTCCAATATTAAATTTAGTGAGCAAAAACATAATAGAATGATATTGAAAAAGTTTCACTAAAAAGTGTAATTTCATAAAATAATTGTAATAGATGTTAAAATCATTTTACTTGAATCTTAATAACTGATTACTATTACTGGCAATTCTAAGACAGGTTATTTTCAAGGTATGATATAGGAACTTTCCAAGTTTTTTGTGAAAAATCGAGACTTCCCCTGACTATTCCTTGCTTTTTCAAGTTAAAATAAAATTGCCTGATAAATCCAGGTTTTTTCCGACTTGTGGGAGTCCTGCATGCTGATTAATGATTTGTAACTCAGGGCAAGTTTCTCTTTCACTTTATAGACAAAGGCCAAAAATACAGGCAGTCATTGGGCAATTTTTGGCCTTACACTGCCTATAGCAGTGGTTACCAACTGGCGGTTTACCAGTGTGGCATGGGCAATGCCACTCGCCTCCGTGACTTAGGTTCACAAGTGCCTACCGGGTAACGTTAAAGAGCAGCACGGCAAAATTTTCTTCCTTGTGCTCTTTTAATAGCAGCCAACTAAAACACAGCAGTATACCTTTTCCTCGTAAAGGGAAACATTCAAAATACTTAAGGTTCAAATTATATTACAATTTGAACATTAATGAACAGACAACTATGACAGAAATACAAGTAATGAGGGTGGGTGAAAGAGCTTGCTCAATAATTTAAATTAAGTTTCTATGCTCCCCCTACTTTTTCTTTTCAAATTATGTTGCAGAAAACTGCTCTTTTTTATGATTAAAAGGTCTTTCTTTTTTATCTAGCTTGTGCAGAATTCTCACCCATCTTTAAATTCCTGTCTTCATTTAAAAGTTTGAAAGTCTTGAGTATTTTTATTGTAAGTATATTCAAGACTACCGTTGAGAATCTTTATTCACCAAACATTGACTTGCTTTTAACAGTCAGCTGAAGAAAGAGCAACATTCTTTTACCGACAAGAACCATAAGAAGAAATTTTATAGAAAGAGCAGAAATGTGCACATTCCTAATTGTTGTCTCTTTTATGTTTCTCTCCGCCATGCCGTGATGTATCTCTACGAGATTCAGGTAGTACATTCAAATACAGACATCAAACACTTAATGACTAACCTGTATCAAGTAACTCTTTAGCAATTATGGATACAGTCTGAACCATTTTATTTACACCTTGTATTGGTCCTCCAGGTGCTCTATGAAGACCTAAAAAAAAGAAAAAAGATGAACATAAATGCATAAAGTACAATAGATTAAGTCAACCAAACTTTAGTTCAATTTATTTTCCAAAAAATTCAGTTTGATATCAGATTATCTAAACCAAAGATTTTAACTATATATTCACCAATCTTTTAACCCTCACCAAATATTTTAATCACTTTTTGAGAATGGCATTGTTTACTTATGTTGTGCAATAGCAGCATAACTCAAAACCATTAATTTTACAGGATAAAAATTTGAATACATTACTGACAAAATTATTCAAACAATTTTATGATAATGTAATCTTCATAATTTGACTATTGAACAGTGTGCCTTTCTGATGTTTAACTTTTTACGCATATATATTTGTTTAAACTGAATAATTAACAACCTTAATTGTATTAGAATGTTTAAGAAAAATTAAAAAGATGTTTCTCAAAATACAAAGTCTGTAATAAAAATAGAGTTGTGACTTTGTTGTCTTTAGAATACACAAAAGAGGACACAGCACAGCAATAATACTTTTTTTTAAAAGATTTGTTTTTTTATTTATTTTTTAAGCTTACTGTACTGAGAGGATGCAATATTAGGGCTAACAAAAGCTTGCACAGATTTCGAAACTTTTTTCTCTTCTATTTACAGGTTGTCTCATAGTGGATTAACAATACCACTGTGAAAAGTGCAAATAAGATAACAGAACAAGAGATACTTTAAGTTTTTTATGATAAGATACCTTTTTTATAACACAGATAAAATAATTTATTAATTCAGGAAGCATAGATTGTTACAGCAAGTTTAGTTATAGCTTGAATTATCTGTGCAAATAATTTAAAAATAAAAGCATAGAAAATTAGCAAGTTTTCAGAATATAATTTTACTTATATTCTGAAAAACATATGCATTCTAAGCATACATATTCTTTTATAACAGCATATATATTTAATTGAATATTTTTTCTTAACAAATCCTCAAATGAATGTGTTTTACCTGAATTAGAAATGGAATAACCGGGAATATTATTTTGTTCAGCAAGAGAAGCATCTGGCATCAGTAACAAACCAGGCACGAGCTGACGACCAAGTTTACCTTCATTGTCTAGTTTTTCAGCTAAATATTAACATTAATAAATAGACAAATGAATAAAACAGCACATGTGATAAAATAGTTTTAAATTAATGCTAAATTTAGTTAATCTCCCCACATACCAATATTTAATGAAAATTTGTAAACAAGTTTAAGATTTTCTTAATTAAAATTTGTGATCAAGTTCAAGATTTTCTTTATTAAATAGTTATAAAGTAGATTTTCAATATTCTTGATACAAAAACACAGGGAATTGCCTCTTTTACATTTCTGAACAAAAGTAATTTAGTGAATGATATTTCAAATCAACTTATTTAATAATTAGTTATTCTAAAAATTCTATGTAAAACTGTTATTTGAGTTTTTCATAAGAATGATTGAATTCCAAAAAGTTTGAAAGAATGAATTCTGTGGGTAAGGCTACATGCTTGAGACATGTATAAAATTCATGGATAATCCCTAAGTTTAAACTATATACCGTATATTCCGGCGCATAACGCGCACCGGCGTAATTTCTAATAACTTTTTTTAAATTTTAAGATATACTCTTCGTATAACGCTCATGAAAATTTGGATTGTACGTGTGCAATATCTCATCTAGTATCTATAGAAAACCAGAAAGACTTTTAGTGTGGGACATGTTTAGGCCCCACCTTACAGATAATGCAAAAAAATTGTTGAATGAATGTAACACCGATATGGCAGTTATTACGGGCGGATTGACACCATTAGTTCAGCCATTGGACGTCTGCTTTTAAAGCCAATTNATTAACAATATTTGTAATGAATTGTATGTAATTACTTTCGACCGAGAATTTGAAGTTTAAAAAGCCTGCACTAGTTTTGTACTTTCTATTTTCTAAAAACATTTTTATGGCAAATTGAATTACATTTAATAAAAACTTAGAAGAGCAATTCTGTGCATCCAAAATTGTTCTTAAACTGCTGTTAAGAAATATCAGTAATCAGTATCAATTAAAATATACCTTTAAAAACAAGCTGTTTATCGTTTCATTTGAAAGTAATTTTCTGCTTAAAAATAGCTTTTCATCCCCTCCTGAGAATAAAACCAGAAATCCTTTTTCCCATTTCATTTAGACTTAGTTAATATTTTCTATATTGCAAGGCATATATATACATATATATATATATATAATTATATATATATCCCAACATGCAAGATGAAGAAAGGCATACAATGAGAAAGACAAACCTCTATAGGAGCTGCTTTGACAGGGAGTTTTCCTGCTGGCGGTCTTGAATAGCCCATAAGCTGTAACATTGCTTCAGCTGCATTACGTTTAGCTGTCTTCTTATTTGGACCCGTACCAGTCGTCGACAAGTCACCCAAGGAACACTGAAACATTATTATTCATTACATGTAAATGAATATTTTTTTTTATTTTTACAGCCTGCCTATTTATAAATAAAGCACTGATTATCCGACTTAAGACTGATCAGTAAATTAAATACTTACATACTTGGATAAGGAATACCAAGGAGAAAAAATATGCATGTGTACTCTGGCATATGTTTCAAAATCAAATGAAACTGGAAATGCATTTTACGCTTCAAAAAAGGTAAAAACTTGTCACTTTACAAAAGAAACTAGTTCCCTCTACACTGCGTAGGACTAAGAGAAAAAAGTCCTTTCCAATGGCAATTGAAACAATATTTCATTGAAAAAAAAACTATCAAAAGATATTAATAATGAAAAAGTAGAGGAATGAAAGGTAAACTCACCTGCATAATGAATTCTCTTTGTCGCGGTTCTCCTCTCTCATCTATAACTGTATAGACGGGCTCACGTTCTTTTTTAGCTTGCTGTATTTGAATGAGGCGACTAATGGGATTGATCCCTTGTCCGTACTGAGGGTCTGCCTTCTGTTCCTACGACAAACACGCCCCGTTAATTCATGAACATCATGCGGAAATATTATTTTGAAGGGAAAACAATTAGTTTACAATTACCCAAGTTTCATTATTGATGATCTTAAGTTCACTTAAATAATGAATCCTAACTAATGCAATAATTCATCCCCTTTCAAGTCAATAAACGTGAGCAATCGAGTTGTTCTTATTATATTCTGGTTCAAAAAAAAACTATTTAATATAATTGAGAATAGCTCAAAACACTTAAAATAATTCATAACTAAATGTTGAGAAAATCTAATAGGGTGATAAATTTAGCCTGACTAAGGTCAGGACAGTGTTGTGGGAATTGCAGGGTAGTCCGAAAAAGTCAGATTCTATTACAACTATTTATCACTCTATTTCCTGCATTTATCTATGGATCATTATATAAATACAAATTTTCTAGCTTATTTTTTGGAATATTATTCATTTCATTTCTTTTACTTCTAAAAAGTTTTATATGAAATTAAATAAACAAATTAAATTTAACTATTTATACTTAGAGAAAATTTAGTAAAAAACAGATACGAGTTTTTGATTAAAATTTTTTTTAAGAAAAAGATTCAGAAAATTTCAGTTTTAGTTTTCTTTAGTTTTGTGCATAAATGGATTATGCACAAAACTCAAATGTTGAAACGTATGACCAAATCTACAAATATAAGTACAAAGTATTATATTGGTAATTATTAAAACAGCATCAATATTGAGCAGTTTCAATGTAGATAATATGGAAATAGGTGTCTCACGGACCCTCGAAAGGGATAAATAACAGAATTTCATGCCAAGTGATATTGAGTAAAGTTAATCCTATTTTAATGGGATGAATTACAAAAAAAATGTGTTTTACTTAATTTAATAACATAAAGCCTGATTTCCTTCTCGGCAGAGTTTAAGGGATGAGCCGTTCCGTTTGCATGAAATATTTCTGCCCCGCACGGACTTTGAACCTGATTCAGTGATCAACATATTTTTTAAAAAAAGGTTTACTCGTGTTGGAACTACAGGGCTTTTTGGGTAGTTGAGCTATCACTTTTCAACTTGTATGAAGCTAGCCTACTACGTTGTAAAAAGTTTTTTTCTAGTCGTTTTTCAGTTTGACTATTTTTTTCTCAGTATGTGCTTTTTAGTTTTGTGCATAATTTCAAAGCATTGTTCAGTGCTGATTTATTGATTACTTTCTTCCTTTATTTAATAAAATTTCATTATTTCTGTTTTTTTGAAGAATAGTTTTCAGCTAGTAAGGTATAAAATGAAAACAAATTCTAAAAATATTAATTAATGGCTCAAAAAAAAGTAAGGTATTCATATAATACTTCATAGGTTAACATAATGACTTAAAAGTCTGTAGAACCTGATTATAAGAGACCTTTCAAGATTTAAAAAAACTGACAAACAAAACAGTAATCTCATACATAAATTATGTAAGAAAGTATAATCAAATATATATTTTTGAAAAAGAATAAGATAAAAAATATTTTACATCACCTTGATTAAATTTCTGTTTTTCTTCTTGATGATAGGTTTTTTCTTAACCTTCTGTTGAGCTGGAGGTAGAGAGGGTAATTTCTTGAGCTCTTCCAGCATTTTCTCAGCAGCCCGTTTCTTGGAAACCTTTTTACCATTTCCTTCCCCTTCCGTTGTAGTGTCTCCGACGATGCACCGGGTAATGAATGTGCGCATGTGTGGGGGGCCACTTTCTTTGGTAACTTCGAAATTAACGGCCAGACTACGCTTCAAAGCAATTTCATGAACTAAGCTTATAGGTGACTTGAGATCGTCGCTCTCATCATCGTCGTCGTCCTCTTCTTCGAGTTGTAGCGAAGGTTCTCCATTTGTTTTTGTGAGTGCAGTTTGTTGTTCTGACGGATGTTTCTTAACATTATCCGGTATATTGCGAAGAATGGCCAAAGCCTCTTCGGCCGCAGCGTGGCGGGCCGCTTGTGCAGTTCGACCCTCTCCGAAAAACTGTCTATTGCCTACTTTTAATGATACATAATAGGTTGGCACTTTAGGATAATGGTACCTTTGATGGTACATTCCACGGAAATTTAAATTTGGTATGTACTGAGGGCGTTGAGGTTCGATCAACTGATAAACAGCGGGCTCTCCTCTCTTCATGGCCAGAGCATTCAATTCGACGGTGGGGGTGATGGGACCAAGAGCTTTACGCTGACTCTTAGGAGGAGGGTGTTTCATGATGGTTTGTTCAAGAGCTATGGCAGCAGCTGCATGCTGTGCTTTTTTAATACTTGGGCCAGAAGCAGTATACTCTTCAGTATCCAGTTTCAGCACGACGGTGAAAGTCTTCTTGTGAGGAGGACCAGATTCATCCACAAGTCGATACTGATGCTGGACCTAAAGATATCAGTCACTTTCTTAGTAAATAAAATAAATCTACATGTACATTTGATGAAACTTCGTGATACTGGTCATTTTGAATAATTAACTTACAAATGACAACATAATAATTTTTAAAAAAATTAGAATTTCATCTGGTCCAAAAAAATATAATATCCAGCTACATGAAAGGAATATTGAAAACATCAGTTCATCATTGCTGAACTAAATAGTAAATAATTTAAAATTTATTAATTGATTTATAAATAGCTTCAGGACTAACATTCAGAACAAATGTTGAATTAGATGCAATTTGTTATGTTTTAACACTTTTCTCCAGAAAAAAACATTCACTTTGAGTAAAACAGTGAAAATTACATTACATTTCAAAGAGGTAACAATTTTAAAAACAAAGTTGTTTTTTATTAGTTCTAATACTTTAGAAAATTTTCACTTTCTCAATAAATAATACTTAAGTGCACATTTGCATTTGCTAGCATTTGTATTTAAAAATTAATTGAAAGCATTTTAAGATTGATCTCTTAAAAACAAATATATAAAATTCTATAAAAGCAGTGCGTCACAAGGTATAGGTCGCGAAGATCTACTGCATAAACATATTAAAAAAAAACTTGTTTGAACCGTAAGAAATCAGTTCACTTAAGAACAAGTAATAGATACCTTATTAAAACGTGCTAATTCATTAATTAAGCACATGGGTGTTTTCTCTTTCATGTTTGCCATGGTTACGGTGGACTGAATAACGCACCCACCAGCAGAGGGGGCAGTGCTGCTGGGGTCTCCGACAGTAGTCACAGGTGGTTGGCCTTGATGAGGAGGTGTCAGAGGGTCTCCCAACACTTGTCCAGAATTTGGAAGCAAAGAACAAGGAATTCCCCCTGGGCTCATATTCACACCAACAATTAAGCCACTGCCTAAAAATAACAATCATTATAATTTACAAGTGTAGAAATAAATCTAAAAATAACAGGATTTTTCCAAAAAGGGACATCAAATATAAATAAAAGTAAATATAAAAAAGTATATGTAGTATAAAAAGTATTAACTTCCAAAATAATGAACATATTTTAATATATAATATATATATATATACATTGTATTTAAGAAATTTAACCTTCAATATTATAACAATAGCAAAACCTTATTTTGTAATTAAATAAAGAACTGTTAAAGAATAATCAAATTTCATTCGTACTATTAAATTAACAAATATTACTAAACAAATATTTCTACAAATCACTATTTAATTCTTTAGAACAAAACAAATAGCACATTACTGTTAAGAGTGAAAACCAAGGTGGAAGAATGATTATGCCCATTTTTCACAAAAATTGCGTTTGGATTGCCATCCGTTGTATTTTGAGGACTACTAAGTTTTGGCAAATCAATAATGAAGAAAATTGGTCCATCCGGAGAACCCCTGTGGCAGAAATTCAAAGAAGTCTAAATTTAAATCAGGCTCACACTCAGCTGGCCTTGAACATTCAGTAAAGAAAATTGCAAAAGGATGGGGATGTCTAGTATTTTGCTTGCTTTTTTGTAGGAAAGATACTCCAATTATTTTGAAAATTACTCTGACAAAATCAAAAACTTTTCAAGGACTATATCACGGAATTCAAGGATTCCCCCCCCCCAAAAAAAAAAATCAAAAACTTATAAGGTTTTTCAAGTATTGTAAGAACCCTATACAAAAATAATAGCATAATAATAATCATAGTATAATAATAATAATAGTAAGTTTTACATAAAAAAAGCAGATTATAACAAGTGAATAAGAATTACAGATGCTCTAAAGTTAATGGTGATAAAATATTGCACTTGTGCTTTTAAATGTGCATTTTCTAAAACCATAGATGACAGTACGAAATTCAAGCCAGTTTCAGTTCTAACAACCTAAGAAATGTATTATTCAGCAAAAAATATTTGATCAAAAATATTAGAGCTGGCATTAGTGCATATTCCAAAGTAATCTGTAAAAAAAAATTTAAGTGACAGTAGGACAGTGAAGTCACTTTTAAATTCAGTATTTTAAAAAAATATAAAATCCCATGCAGCAAGAGAAAAAAAAAATCTTATTTTACAGATTCATGTTACCAACACGATAATACCAAGTAATATTAACATTCTAAAAGTTTAAATAAGCACATATAAAAAACTTCACAAATGGGTTTGTTCCAGTTTTAGTCCACCAGAAAGAATTAAAATTATAGATTCTTTTTTTGAAAAGTTCAACATTTATAATGCAATTTCTAAAAGATAATGCAATGCTGAATCAGTTAAATGTTCCTTCTTAAGATTCTTTACCTTCATAGATCTAAAATAGAATAAAATCTTAAGATGAAATAAGTTCTTACATTTAAAAGTATTAAAAGTCACATATTAGTTAAGACTATTTTAAGCACTAATTGTTCAAAACTATTTTCTAAAGCTATTAATCTCCAATACATGGTACATATATTTAAAACAGTGAAAAGAAGGCAGAAAATTTTCAATCTAACTGAGAAAACTATGAGTAAACATTACCTGGATTTGCATTAATATTTTGAGGCAGAATTGCATTAGCCATTTGTCTTTGTAGAATACTGGTATTAGGATTCATATTTCAGTTCTAAAAAGAATAAAAATCTGAATTATTTTTTTTATTATAACTCTATACACCATTGATACAATTTCAGTTCATATGCGTTATTTCAAATAAAATTTTTAAAAAATGCACTTAAGCAGGATTGCCACTCAAATCTGGAAGAAAAATATTCACTGAGTTTTTACCCTGTACATATTATACACAATATATTAAGAGGAAACAGCAATTACTGTGCTCATGTGTGAGACATATTGGGCTGACTATATTAATTAGCTTTAATAGCTGGAAAAACAGCTGAACATACTTAAATAATGCTATAGTTAAATGGAATAGTTTTTAGTATAGCTGAAATATCAAGGCTTAACATCCCATAGATTACACTTTGAGTGGTCACCATTTTTTAAAAGACAAAAATAAGAGACAAAATTCTCTGTATTTTCCCAATTTGTAAAGAAAAAATCAAAATTCCCTGTTATATTAGGTGAATTTTAAGTTCCCTGTATTTTACAGGTTTTCCCTGTTCTCCCTGTGGAGTGGCAACCCTGTTAAGACACAGTAAGAAATTGAGGATATTAATATTTACAAATTTAATATCAGGATCCTTATTCGCTAGTCGAATGAACAGTGACTAAACAATATTACTAGTTCATACATGTCTTCCCTGGTTTGTTTACTTATTTTGATTAGATTTTTTGCTAAAAAAAAGTTATTAAAGAGAATTTATATTATTTAATTATTATTGTAATTTATGAAAAATTACAATACAAAGAATGTGTAGTGTTCCCAATTTCGATTGAATATGCAACAATAAGTCAGACCAACACATATAACTGAAAATCAATAAACAAAAACACTATCCCTTTGCATCAATTAACTGCTGGTCAGAAACCCACTGATTATTATTTTATAGTGGTCGAACTAAGTAAAATTTTAATGGTCCCAGTTTGAGCTGTAATATGTTTTTTTAATATTTAATCATTATGTTACAGGAAAGATATCTAATCTTGCAAATCAATTAAAACTAAAATTTCACCTTTCTTGACACATAGCAAAATCACAGATAACATGATTTAAATGGCTCATTATAATAAAAACATTGATGAACATATGTTAAAATTTGTCAGCTCATCAAACGATTTTATAGCTTATTAACCAGGGGTCTGTATAGGCCGAGTTTACTACCGTTTAGCGGTACCTTCACAAATTCAGATTTAGGAAAAACGGTAGTTTCACAAATTCAAACTTAGGAAAAACGGTAGTTTCACAAAATACTTTTTCTTAAAATTTTATTTTTGTATCCCATAAGAAAAGAAAAATCCATAATTTTGTGTTGATTTTTTAATATAATTTTTAATTTTCACAAAATAGGTATCTTTCAGAAAAACCTAGAAAGACCCCTGTTAACTATTCTTAAATCTCTGAAAATTCGTGCGCCCTCTGGACGCTCAAAAAAGGGGAAGATTCAGGGGGCTGTCTAGGTTTTTTATGACGTATCTATTTTGTAAAAATTTAGGCATAATATGTGAGAATAAAAAATTATATTAAGAAATCAACACAGAAATAGTAAAAAAAAGGAAATATTTTCACTACAAACAAAAAAAATAAATGGTAATTTTCTACATATATTTCTCCAATATGTTCAAAAACAATATTGTTACTGCAAAATTTTAGGTTTAAAATAGTATCCAAAATTAAAAATTCATAAAAATCCTTGTCCTCAGTTAAATTTTAACTTGAATTTAATAAAAATATACATTTAACAGTACTAGAACTAAAAGTTATCATTATGAGAAAATTTTTGACTGGGTTATGCAGAAAAAAGTTTCACAGCTGTTGTTGTTGTAGTTCATTTACATCGTACTAGAGCTGCACAATGGGCTATTGGTGACGGTCTGGGCAGTGGCGTAGCGAGNTTACGTCGCACTAGAGCTGCACAATGGGCTATTGGCGACGGTCTGGGAAACATTCCTGAGGATGATCCGAAGACACGCCATCACAATTTTGATCCTCTGCAGACTGATCCAAGTGGTCACCCACCCGCACACTAACCACAGCCAGCAAGGGCGTCAGCAGAATAATATAAAAGGGGGTGCAACCGGCAACCCTCTAACAAACTACCCCCCTCCCCCCCAAAAAAAAATTTAAAATATTCTGTTATTGCATTTTGCTTTGTTATTACATATACTTTCATCTGTTAATTCTTTTTAAGATACATTTCTTCATTGTTAACACGATATTTTTAAAAAAAGTGTGAATTTCTTGTACTTGCAAGGCCACGAGAAACTGTATTGATGGCGCTGTCATAGCTACTGACTTTGAAACACAAATAACTACTAGCAGTAGTATCGTATACTAACATGTTTGTGCACGCTTAACATTGGTAGTTATTGTGTTGATAAAGTTTTCCAGTTGTGAGAAGTCAGTTTGTGTTATACACTTTTGCTAAACTAAATAACTAACAGAAAATATAATATTTATATTTTATTAAATGAAATTTAAAAATATAGCTTAGATATCTGTAAAGTTTGTGCATGCTCAGTGTGCATAAGAAAAGAATCAAAGATGACTCAAAATTCATTGAAAAAGTTATAAGCAGATTTGCACAGCAAACAAGACGATTACAATTCCTGTTTGATCAAACAATTTTTTAATTGTTATGTATCAATAATTACTTAATTATTTGTTTTTGAATAAAAATATTTTTAATAAAAAAAATTTATAACAAAATTTGTTTTTCTATCTTTTTAATGGTTTTTAAAAAAAAAGCTAGGGGAGTGCAAGTGCACCCTCTTGAACCCCGCTTTCTTTTTTAAAAGAATTTTGCGAAAATACCGTTTTTCCTTAAGTTAAATTTATGAAGGTAAAGCTAAACAGTAAATTCGCCCTGGACAGAAACCCAGAGATTCATAACCCTATCGTGATCTGTGGTAGAATAATCGCCAAGCCTCAACAACTTTCGGGCAGCTGCCTGCGAGAAACTAAAAAAAAAAAACATCACAGAAAGAACTCAAAGGATATAACTCGTATCCACCCCTGGGCAATCTATACTTGTTTTTAAATTTTTCGAGTTTAAAATCAATTTGGCACCTTGACGATTGGAGTTGGAGTGAAAAATCATAAGGAAATATCCCCACGAAACATCAGTTTTACCTATAGAATAAACATGGCAGTTTTCCAGTTTCGATTTTCATCATTGCCCGCTGATGATGTCACGCAATTGTATTTCTGCATAAGAACGACAGTCATGCAAATTTGATGACTTAGTCTCCAGATGGAAAGCAAAATATTAGAATAATCTAATATTTTGCTTTCCATCTTTTTGACACTCTGCAGACATGCCATATCTGCAGAATGTCAATAAGTGATCATTAAAATTATGTGTATAATCAACATGAATTTCATCACTATAACGGAAATTTTTTAACATTACTCAAAATTAAAAAAGGTAAACAAACATATCACTTTTTCTTAGATGGTAACATCAGAAAGGAATTTCATCATAGTATTTTAATAGTGAATCATAAGCAAATAATTTAGTTTTAATGCTCTTTATTTCTGTACTAATATAAAATGAGTAGTGCAAGAAAGCAAGATTATTAAACTATAGAAGAACTCAAAATTCATTCTTATAAAAATAGCTTTTAGATGTCTGACAAAAGTCTATATATTGAATATAGACATTTTAGAGGTTTTTATTGAAGTAAAAATGAATTTTTAAAGATGGTTTTTTATTAGGTCTGAAGTCAAGATTTCTTAAGTATTGCAAACAGTACTGCTAGAAAATCGGTTGTGCGGTTAAGTAAATAGTTTCAATTTCATTATTATGTGGTTAGAGTGACAGAGTAATTACAGATAACACACTGGATCAATAGATCATCAATATAAAATAATGCTAATAAAAAAGCAATGAAATATGTGACGGTAATGAATTAAATAGATCCCTATTTCTTACTATTCAAAACATTCCCTATTTTGCAACTGTAATGAATAAATGAACAACTTGCTGTCAAATTTTATTTACACTCGAGACTGCCTTCTAGAGAATTTGTTAGATTTGAAAATTCAACACAATCACTTTATCCAATAAGTGATAATCAAAACAAGTTAACAGCATTTTAAAGAAACAGAAAGGGAAAACACAAACAAAGACTAAATTTTAAATGCTCTTAAAAAATTACACAAACCTTTCAGAGACTGTGATATCGATTTATTGTATATATTGTTAAAAGAATATAAGTCAGGCAGTGACGTAACAAAAAGGCCAACTCTAACTAGAAACTATCAGTCTGCAGACCACAGAACGATGGCAAACAATAAAGAAAATATTACATCAATTATTAAACATCTCCAGCACCCAAGATGCCGACAATCCTTGATTCCTCCATTAACATTAATGTTGCCAAATATGATTAGCTAACCTTGATAAAAAGTATTTTAAAGCCGCCTATGGCAACGACATGAAGGGATGTGCCTCCGATGTCGTAAAATTGGAAGGTTCAATTCCTTACTACACTTTCATTAGGCCATCCTCGCTCTCGCAGTATGAAAAATATTCGCTTATGAAAGAGAACCAGATTGGCGAATTTTTTCCATGTGACAAATTTTCATCAAAATGATTTTTATTCGCATTGAACCTTTTCTCGTGCCAAAAGTCAGTGACAATTATAAATCGAAGTAGGCTACAAAGGTGGCAGAAAGCCCAGAATACGTAGATTAAGTAGCGACAAGCCGCCATCTTGGTGACTGCAACTCGCTTGTGATAGCAACTTTCAATAAGCGATCGCAACGCTCGAACACGCCATCTGGGGAGAAGACCGGTTCCATGCCTTTGACCCTTCCCTCTCCTCCTCTTTTCAGTTGTATAGGAATGTACTACGATATTTTTCCCTTTCCTAATATTTTTCATATTTAATGGATGGTGTTTTTGACACTAGGGAGCGCTGCTAGCTGTATGCCGCTTATACTTTCAGGTTACTATTTCCGGTGTATTTTAAAGCCATTTGGCTCACAACGTGATCATCGTGTTTTAAGATTCTTGCAAACGTGGTATTATTGAATACTTATTACTAAACTTAATCTTGCTCCCCGAACAATATGTTAACAACTAACGTAAGATGGTGCACAGCTTGCAACACGAACAAACAGTAATTCGCGATCGCAACGAACTATAGGGGGCGTTCTTGTATGAGACTAATACCTGCGATTTCTATATGAACAGTCATTCAGTTACTCTAGAGACGTCGTTAATGTAGCACGTAGCATTGCAACGTTCCTTCTTTATTGTGGCTAATTAAATTTAAAAAAGAAAAATGCTTGATATTCTTTCTTATGCAAACGAAAACAAAATGGTATCTCTTTTTATTAGAGAA